ACAATATTAAAACAAGTTTATCACAAGAGAAAAGCAAAATTAAATAATTTCATTTGTAAGGAATATTTAAGAAAAAATAATTGAATTCAACTGATTATATATATATATATTGGTAATCATAATTTAAAACTTAATAATAATCATATCCATATTTAATTCTGGGTCCATTAAGGAACAAATATATCAAACAGTGGTATTTAGGCGTTTTAGTACCAGTAACCGCTGCCACAAAGCTTACCCTAACCCAAGCAGGGGGGATTTTGGGAGGAGCTTTTAGGGAAAAGTGCGCCTTCCCTTATGTGACGGGAAATATTGTACTTATTCAATTTCAGGATACGCAAAAATTCAACATTTCCTCTCTCATGGAAAACTAACTAACTTTTTTTTTTTAAATTTGACTAAATAATGAATAAGTCGAATTTATAAAGTGTTTTCTAAAGAATAAAATTTAAAACGAATGCTGCCCAAACAAAATATTGAATGAATGTGACATTTTTGTTTTTGTGCAGCAAATTCTGCAAAAATCTAATTCAGAGTCAATGAGCAAATACCAGTTTAAATATCCAAAGTAAAAATGAAATGCAAATGAAAAAATTCTCAAAATAGGAATTTTTATGTCACTAAACTAACAAATGAAAAATTAAATAAAAAACACACCCGTTGTAATAATAAAAAGAAAAAAAATGTAACCTAAAAATGAAAAAAAAAAGTGAATCATTTCAACTTTTAAAACATGAAAAATGACTTAGGATATTTTTGTTTATGCAATCTACATTGTCGTAAAAAATTATTTCAAAATCTATCTTACTTTATACATTAATAATTAAAGAAATGATGCAATTTTCAACTGGTGATTTTTTTTAAAAATTAATCTCGCTTGTCTGCAGTTTAGTGAACTTTGAGCATTTTCATAACTTCCGCTCTTAATGCCAGCACAGCTTTTCTTTCTACACACCAAGTGCCCTTTCACAATACGGTTGCCTTTAAATGTGACAATTATTCGACTAGCGTTTTTCCCTTTTCACTCAACCAATGGTAACATAACCTCTTTAAAAGTAGTCTTCACAGTAAATGTCAATACGCTCTACTAATACAACCATTTTAAAATCAAGATCTGATAAAAGAAAAATTTAAGTTCAGAAAGTTGGTTGAGGCTTCTTAAACTCAACAACCCTAAACGGGGAAAATCTCAAGTTTCAACTTTCTTTAGAGCAATTATGTGTGTGTTACACTGCTAAAGATATGCACTCATTCAAACAACAAATATGTTTCCGACGGAAGTTTTAAAATTAAATTTAAATACATGACTAAAAAGACTATTTCATTTGTTCACTTATTCCATATTTAATAATACTGGGTTACTGTGGAAAGAAAAAATTGAAATAGAAATAATTTCACTTGAAACTGAATTTTAGTTAAAAAAAGGAAAGCAAGAAATCTCGTGGAAGATTAAAAAAAAAATCTATCCAGACATTTAGTCGACTGTAGCGGTAAGAAGTAAATTGGAGTAAGTAAAAATTCAGTTAAGACTAGTGAAGAAGGTTAACGTTTTTAGTTTGTATTCTTCTCCCGAATTAAATTTAGGAATAAATATTTATACTATAAATTTTATAGGCGACTTGGGACAACTGACACATGTGTCACTGTCCTTCCTTTTATTCACAAGAAATTATTAGCTATTAATTAATTATTCGTTCATCATCTGTGTGCGTGTATTTTTTTTTTAATCTAACACAGTGGTGTGCTATAACACCTAAGCACTGAAATTAGACAACAGTAATATTTTCTTTCACCTTTTTTGCTATAATCAGCAAAGAATAATAGAAATAATAATAAAAAACATAACCGGCGCGCGGAAATAAAGAGTAGTACTCCATGTTCGTTAAAGAACAGGATAGGGACCAGTGAACGGAGAGATAAAAAAAAAAAAAAAAACAGTTTGGTAGTCAATTATAGAAAAATGATGTACACGGAAAAAATAGCAGTAAAACTAAAAGTAATAAAATAACATTGCTTTCTCTACTAGAAATCTTGAAAATGTTAGAAAACCAAAAATATTATATATCCACTTTTTTTTTTTTTTTTTTTTTAAACTTTACCAACTCTGAAGTAGAAAACATTTCTTTCTTTAACTCCAATTGTAGCTAATAAAACATTATTAATAATGTCCACTTAATTACACTGAAGAAATCTAAATCCGTAAAACTGGTATTTGAAGCAACAGAAACTATTAAAGAGAAAAACTAAAAGAAAGGGCGATGACAATAAGTTGTGTGTTTTGTAGTTAATAATGTCAGGGCAGTAATTACGATTATGTAACAATAAGAAATATACCAATGTTGTAATGTAGCCATAATTATTATGTAAGAAATACTATCGTAAAACAATACTAGTGTCACTGCTGTTACTACTGCAGGCGAATGGTACTACTACTGTACACCAAACATCACTTGTACAAGAAGTAGGAGTAAAGTGCTTACAGTGAGTAAACTAATAAGTGCTCACTTTTATTCATTACATTTACAATTAACTACCCATACGTCTGGTCGTTTAATTAATGAATGGAATAAGTCGCTACTTACATAAAAACCCGGGAAAACTTTAACGCCCCCCCCATACAAAAATAAAAATCTATGCACGCAAAAATCAAATATGAATTGAAAATTGAAGTCTAATAAAAAATAAAACAGTTTTGTTTTTTTTTTCTTAAAATTCTTAATTAAACCGAATTTAAACTACAATTTATTTTTTGGAATTTAAAGATAATTTGCAATAGCATTTTTGAACTTCCCAGTTTAAAAAAAATATTAAACCTCTTTCTTTACAAAAAAAAAATAGACAAAGTACAAAGTTGTTAAGAATCTACGGTATAAAATTGGCAACGAATCCTGTAGGAAATTAAAAAAAAAAATATCCTAAATTTTGATTAGCGTTGATTCTACGATTAACCCAAGTGGTGTTACTGATGTTTTCACAAGAACCGGACTGGGACTACTGAAGCTGCTACTCCCAAACGACTACAGTACAATGTGAGCACGACCATTGACAGGGCGCTACTATTAGCAATTCACTTGGAATAGAGAAGCCTGAGAGCTACTGGTGCTGCCATTACTGCTGCTGTTAGAGTTAGCTTGAATGGGTAGCAGCCAGAGTAAACTCGAGACGAAGGAAGTGAAAGTAATAGAAGGGGCGGTTGGCAGAGAGGCACGCACTTGGGCCCCAGCGAGTGAGCGAATCTTTATCTGTTATCTGTCAGTTCAGTAGATTAAGTGTGAATGGTCCATTCTAGCAACTCATTATGTGTGAGATACAACATGCTGCACAGGGCTAGCCTTTCACACAGATGGTCTACCACAGGGCACAGCTAGTGTCTGTAACACGACTCCGAATCAATAAAACCTTACAAACTCTACGAGATGCTATTTCCGACTCAAACGCACTCCTTCTCATCATCATAACTAGCCGTTGTATTATTACAATTATTATTATTTAATTCTTCTTTCCTATGGTCATCAGTCGGATTTTAAAATGATTTAATCTTCATTCTTGATTTTTTTTGCTTCTAATCATTTCTCACATCATTTATCTATTTTAAAATCTGATTTTTTTATTCTTCGAATTGTTCATTTTCTTTGCTCCTCTCTACTATCCAAACTTCTTTCCTTCGTATTCCTGTTCTGTCACCTTTTTCTCTTTTTCCGTTCTTGCTTCTGCGATTTATTCTTTCCTGTCGTTACTTTTTTTTGTTTCCTTTTCTATCTTTCCCGTGTCTTCTTCCGCAAATTCGGTCTTACTCTTGTCTTTTCAATTTATTTTTCTCCTGTTCATTCTTTGTAGAACCGTGTCTCCTCTTTGCCTTTTTTTCAGAAAATTTATTTTTATTCTTTGTCCATGCTTTCAATTCCCTTCCCAAATTCCTTTTCTTCCTCCTGAATTCTACAGTGATTTTTTTCCATTTATTTATTCACCCAATAATTCGCTTTTTATTAAGAGAAAAATGTTTTTTTCTTCTTTTAAGTACTTTTGAATTTTTTGGATTGTTATTCCAATTTTTCCCCCATTCTTCTCTTTTTCCATTTATTTACCAACGTATTTTACACATTTTATTTTATTTTTCTTTAATATCTTTTTCTTTCTTTTTTTTTCATTCTTTTCATTCATTCAATACTCATTTTATTCTTATTCTATAATTATTTTAATACTGCCACTTTTCGTTTCCATTTTTTTTTTCATTCCTCTGTATCATCATTTTCTTGACTCATCCTTTTTTGTTCATTCATTCTGCTGATACCAGGATACTTTCAGATTTTTTCAAACCATATCCGCTTTTATTTACTTACTAACTGATAGATCTTTCTTTAGCTTTTTCTTCATATTCGCTTTTAAAATCTTTTGTTTCCGTAAACTAAACAACATCAACCGTTTGCCGAATTGTTAGAAAACCAACTCAAACTCTAATATTGATAAATAATGATACGACGATATGGTCGATGCCCGTCGTTGCGGTCGTGTGCGCCTGTCACCAATTATAAGATAAAAAGGAAGAAATGGCACGAGATAAAAGCAGAGGTCAGTGTTGAGGAATGGCCGGGGCCATCGTCTGCATCAAAAGTGCTCCCATATTGATTACAACTTTGGATACACTTCACAACAACGGGAGAACCAAACATTGCTTTTAACATAGTCGCTTGGCACTTAGACAGAGAACGTAAATGCCAGGATATGATTGTGTAGTCAGTTAAATTGCGGCTCTTGAAGAATAAATGTGGCTATAAAGTTATTAAGTGTCTTTCAATTTACGTATAAAACACAAAACGGAATCGTGAAGTGTGTGTGAGGTTGGCTACACAATAAAATGGAGTGAAGTGGAAAAAGGAAGACAAGCAAGCAGAAAAAGAAAGAAGAAACTGCTATTAAAAAGAAAATCATAGGCCCATCCCACCCCACTGGATACGATTCAGTTCTTTGTGTGTGCGTGTGTGTAATACGATATATGCAGACTAAAAATATAAGGCCGATGAAAAGAAATGAAGATCAAAAGAGGAAATAAAATTAGAAGAAAGAAAAAGAGAAACGGAAATAAATAAAAGAAAAAGACTAAAAGAGGGAGTAAAAAAAAAAAAATCGAAATACATTTGGGAACAAAATTATGTAAATTTAAGTTCTAGTTATAGGAAAAGTAAGTGACTGTAGTCACAGTGTGTGAGTAAGCGAGAAACTTTTTTCATTAGACAAATCATTTATGCATGAATTAAAATAAAAACGAACAAAGCTCTATTTATTAATTTTTCATCCTTAAGCAAAGAAGGAATAAAAAAAATAAGTTTTGGTAACAGTAGTAACACTAAAGTTCCAGACACTTAATTTTACAAGTTAGTAAAAAATGTAAGCTCCACAAAATTTAACTAAGAAATACGTCTATTTGGTAAAGTTAAAATAACACATCAATTTGGTAAATTATTCAAATACAGAAAATTAGGAAAAGAAAAAGATACACTTGTGATCGCGATAAAAACGGAAAGGTAGGACTGGTTTGGATTTTGTTCAAATTGTTCCCCCTTTAAGTGTCTAACGTCGTGGCCAAGGGAGACAACTCCAAATTGATTTTGCTCGTAACAGCGTTGTGGCTCTTTCAGTCAGAGGTAAATTTTAAAAATATAAATATAAATAAATTTCGTTGGGCATTGAACAAAAACAAAAGGGTTGTGTCCAAAGGCACAAATTGATTTAGACGTCATGATAAAAAAAAAAAAAAATGAGAATGAAAAAATAAAAACATGAAACTTTTCTTGAACAGAATATGAGCAAAAAGATTTGAATAGGATTTTTTTTTCTAAAGATTAGGAAATAATATATGAGAAACATAAAAAATAATTTGTAATGATTAACTTAAAAGTCTTAAATACAAATAAATTAAATTTAAACAATTTATTCTGGTTTTATTTTAAACAGTAACATACGATAATATTTTTTAATCATTTCACCCCCAAGCAAGGTAATAAAGCCACTAAGATGTAAGGGTTTACTGAGTGTAAGAGAATATGAGAATACTAAGACTACTTAAAAGCAAACCTCAAACAGTTTATTACAGCTGAGATATTTAGCTAGTTCAGGTTAGTTTGGCACAGGGAAAGAAATGTAAGAGAGGATTAAACACCTTAGTAATAAACGGTGGAAGGTTGAGAGGGTGAACATTTGTCTTCAAAGAAAAAGGTAAAGAAGAAGGCAGATAAAGTGTAAATTCAGAATATTTATATTCCAGAAATTGTAGAGGTATTTCACAAAAATTATTATTTTCTTTCTTTCTTTTTTTTATTTTGTAATTCAGTTATGAAGACAGTTTTTGTACAACAGGAAATAGGCTAGACACAGGAAGGTTTTACGACTCCTCTTACTATTTTGACTCAGACTCTTACATCTGGTTACTACTTTGACTTTGATGTGAACTGACGACTTACTATGTTATCCTTTTATTCATACCTGGTGCATGGACACAATAGTAGACACACTAATATATATGCATATTTAATAGAAAATGCTTGGCACAATTTGAAAATTTTTTTAATAATTTATTAACTATACATGAATGCTGACACTTTGCAGATTAATAAGGTATATATGTTTTATATACATGTAATTTTTAACTTTTTACATAAATTTAAGTTAGTTAAATCTTAAGATGGTATCCACTTATCATATCTTATTAATTTTCTATAAAAGGTTTTATTTTGTCTGGAAATTGTTAATAGAATGTGTTTTAATAATGTGTTCATTATAATTTAAATCTAATTAGTTAGTTTTGCCAAATTTTAATTTATATGGATTTTTAAGGGCTTTCTTCATAAACTAAATCTAACAACTTTTATAATGCACAGTTATGCCAAAAGTGGGGATTTTTAGAGTACCAAAAAATTTTAACATTTTTTGGCAAAGTTTTTGGAAAATAATTCCCCAAATGCTCCTAAATCAACTTACACTTATCCATGTTTTATATCTTTCATAAAAGAATGTAATGAATATTTTAAAGGATATATGATTGTTGACTAATTTTAAAAACGTTTAAAACAAACATTTAAAATGTAAATTTGGTAAAAAATTGATCCGAATTTCAAATTAACTTACAGCAAGGTAAATAACTATATCTACCTGGTTCTATCACAAGTTGATGTTCTTAAGGTGATCAAATATTTTAAAAAAAAAAAAAAAGAAAAAAAAAAAAGAGGCTTTTCTCTTGCTATTTAGAATTTTGAACATTTATCAATCTTTACATGAAAATTGAAAAACAGAAACTGACAAAGTTGAATATGTTTTTTTTTTGTTTTTTTTTAAAATTTTATGATATTTGTGGCAGCAATATTCAATGCATGGATGAATAGTAAACATAAATATATAAGATACATTCTGGTGAGAAAAATTGTCTAGCATGACACACTGAACCTAGCAATACAATATAATCTTTCCACTTCATGTCTGCATAAATCATTAGCCCGAGACGGTGCAATGAGTCACTCAACTGGAGGTTAGCAATAGCCATGATGATTGAAGACAAAAAGATGATTAAAAGAAAGCAGTTTCATTTTGGAGGCATTAAAATTAACAATCCATTTCTTGTCCCACTTAACAGATTGTAGGTCATTTTTGTGATCATTCTCCTGTATTCTCTGAGAGACTGCTCAATTCCTCTCTAGTGCATTTGTTTATATAACTTTCTCATGCTTGTCATTTCAATGATTGTAAAACTGGATACAGCTGCAGTCGACAGTTGCAGATAACATCAAATCAACCTACTGGTGCACGTGGCTTCTTTGATAGTCTAGTGTGACATTGAGTGCAATGTCTATTCTGGTATCATAGTACACCAGATATAAGATTGCAGAGAAAAAAGACTGACTAAAAAATATGCCATATATAGTTTCTATATTTTTTTCATTTTAAAAATCACTTTTTTTACAATGCTGAATTTGGTAATTTTGATTACAAGTACAAGGATGTGCTGAAAAGTTGTCAGCCTATTAAGAAAAGGGAAATAAGAACCTATGTAACATAAGATAGTAAGTTAGCCAAGTTTATAAAAGAACATTTTTGGAGATGAGAAAATGTACTTCTACAGTTCAAACAAGAACTTAAAATATGGAAAAATAATATCTGGGTTGATAAGAAAATAAACATAATTCCTTCAGTAAGAAAGGGAAATTTTATCCCATACAACTGTGGCAGAAGCCAGTATCCTCATCAAGAATAAATAACATGGAAAATCTTATGTTTCATAAAAGATGATATGCTTTTTGATAAACATAATTACTGCTTATTGTATTTATAGCTGATAAAAAGGAAAGATAAGATGTAATAATTAGGTTGTCAAAAATACTAATAGCACAAGTATTAAAAAAGATGCTGAATAGGAAACAATGTTTGCTAGAAAGAATTAGATCAGAGATGGACTGAAAGGAAATGAAAATCTTTTGCTAGTAAAAGATTAAGATAATAATCTCTAATCTTGTTGATCAAATATGCATTATGATCACAAATCCTGTAACCCCCTAGGGTTGTAGGGGCACCAGATCTACAGGAATCACAGCAGCAGTAGTGTGTCATGGGCAAGGCAGCCTGATGGAGCTCAACCATCTCCTAGACTGGTTTCCAATCAAGGCTATAGGGACCAATCTGTCCTGCTATTTACCCATAGCTGGGGGGAAAGAGATGGATTCATACCTTTCCCAAGGGTATTAGCACGTAACTTAATGTAATGAACTTGACTGGAATTTGAACTTGGCTCTCTGATTCCTTGATTTGGGCCACCATCCATTACCCCACTGTACCTCCTCAAGTAACCATTAATACAGGGAAAAAGGCAACTGAAAAGAATTGAAAAGAAATTCAAAATAATCCTAATTTACATTTTTAAAATTTAACCAGTTCAAGCTTAAAAAATTTTAAAAGCATTTGCTTTCCTTGTAAAAGTTTTTACCTGAATATTTTTAAAAATGTTTTTGGTCCACTGATTTTATAGTAAATTGATAGAATATATTTAGTAGATTGTTATTGGTTCAGTGACACAAAGAAATCCAAGGTTTTATATACCTGCAAATTGTTCTAAAAACTGAATTGAAAAACCAAATGAAAAGGAATTTGAAATCCCCAATGCTAAGGTAATATGTGCTTCTGTGAATATGAAATTATCTAAGCCTTGATATTCAACTCTTCCAAATCCAATAGTTTCTTTGAATCAAATCTTAAATCTATTTTTTTCTTTTCTTTCAATTATATATTAAAGTAAATTTATAACAAAGATTCTACTGCAATAAACTCCCTATTCTCTCTTATAAAAACTGATTTTTATCTGAACTAGATTAATAATCAATGCATAAAAAGGGAACAAAGGGGGGAAAAAAAAAGAGAGAAAAATGACACTGCAGATTGGGGAACAATGGTGCATAGAACAAAATTATGTAAAGTTAGATTAACACCAAAATAGCAAAAAGATTATCTTATAAAAATACCAAGATCAGTTAGAGAATATTTCAGGACGTGACTACAAAATGATTCCTAGCCCTTTTGTCTTCCTATCAACAATAAATAATATATTAGCATATGTCACTAAGTGTAATTTGATGATTACAGCACATGATTATAAGGTGTGGTTCATCTTGTAAATAGTGCCAAGAGAAAGAACATATTAATTTTAAACTAAGGTAATCAATTATTCATGTCATTATTATTATTATCATTAAACATTATACATGTAATCAGTTTCAAAAGTTGTACGTTTCAGTTATCAAGTCTTAATCTAGATAGGAAATATAGTTGAATATCAATTGTTATTTTTAACCCAAGTGTCTCCAAGACTAAAAACTTATGAATTTCTTTGTCTTTACCTATCCTTTTGTCTTAATAAGATAAGAATTAACATTTTTGAAGAGAAATCAGATTCCTACCCAAAACAAAAAAGAACAAAATTCAATCACAGAGTCTAACTGCTTATTTGAGGCAGTCAAAAAGAGAACAGGACTAAACAATTTCTATTATTCTATAACATTACACAGAAAAAAAAAACAATTATTCTATAAAATTGCCTGGAATTGTAAGTAATAGCATACATCAATGCAAAAAAAAAAAATAAAATAAAAATGGCTGCTTGGATGTTCTTTTGACAACTGAACACATTTTTTTTGTTGTAAGATGATGATCAGAATTACTACTACTAGTATTTATGTTTTTTTTTTTAAATGCCCTATGCTTTATAAAATATGTGAACACTACTTTAGTCATTCATTGCCATGACTTCTTGGGAAGAGACATTCACTTGCCTTCACTACAATTTGGAATTGAAAATATTCTTTCTCTTTGAGTGACTGCTACCCAAGGCTATAGGGCCCAGTCTATTCTTCTATTTAACCCATAGCTGAGGAGAGAATAAATGTATTCATGCTTTTCCCAAGGATATTAGTGCAAAAGGACAATTTCTGTCTGAATTTCTGGTATGAGGAATTTATTTACACTCTTTACATTCAGACTATTACCCTCATCTTTTTTGTTATGACAACATTTCGGCCATAATGAAGGCTGCAAGGCACAATAGATGAAATTATGTCATAACAGCAACAAAGGTGTGTGCAGAAGTTTCCAGAAACCTGGTGATGACACTGGGAAACTTTGTTAAACATCTAATAATATCTATGACAGGAATTTTAGGGTTTCAGGATAAATTGGGACCATGGGGTAGCAGATCAAACTGATGGTAATTTTTTTTTTTTTTTTTTGACAAACTACAGTTCTACAATGCATTGCTTTCATCAGACATCTTGGAAGTTGAGGAATCATGTTCTGAAATATTGCAAAATGGTTGCATTAGCCAAAAAGCCACTAGTCGCTGATATATTGTACAGTGTGATGTTAGAATTTTAGATATAACAAAGGTTGCGGTCATATCCAGTTGAAACATTGGTTCCTGTATGATCACCAAAGTTAAGCAATGTCAAGCCTGGTCAGTACCTAGGTGCTGTAAGCTTTGATGTGCAGGTGGTGTAATGCATAATGGCTCAGAATTGTTAATCAGAGAGCTGAGTTTCAATTCCAGTTGGGTTTGTTATATTTATATACAAATGTTCTTGGGAAAAGTATAAACCTACCCTTACTACTCCCAGGTATGGGTTAATTAGTAAGACTTGTATCACAAAATCATTATTATCTCAAGAAAAAAAAATTCTTATAATCTAAGAAATATTTTCTGGTTTTAATTAATCTGCACAGGGCTGATAAGCCATAGAATACAAAATCAATCAAAAAAGACATAACAAAGGTTAATTTGGTTTGATTTTTAAAATAATTTTTTCCTTCTCTTTCTCAGAATATGTGAAACTAACAACACCAATAATGGAATCTAAGATTGTTATGATGGAGTGATGAAAGGTTCTTGCCCCAACACTCTTTCCAAACAACCAATCATCAGTAGTTTTTGGTCAAGCCAAGTAGTTTTCACTACACCCTTGGATATTGAGAAGTTAATCTCAATAAAGTTGATCATGATTGAATAAATCATTATTAGAAAAGATAGTTTCAAGTGAATGTGTTGCAATGTTCAATTAAGTTCATAGTAGCTAATTGTTTTGCATATGAATATCAATCTATTGGTATCTTGTCAGTTAATACTTGTCAGCTATCAACCACCTTTTAAAATTTCAGACAAGATTAACAGTGACTGAATAATAACAAATAATATAAAAGCGAAGAAGTATATACACTTCAATTAGGTTGGCAAGGTGAAGCAATGTCAGAAAAGATCATAAATACTGTACGGATACATTGATATGACATGTCTGCCATGACTTCTCTACTCTAAACCTAATTCAGGTCTGCTTCTGCATTGATCTCTTGAAGTTCAGTCAATTGAATCAGTAATAAACCATCTTAGGTCAGCAAGGTGCTGCTGGGTGATTTGCAGTCAGCAAACAGCAGCTCTACACCTATAGACACTGCATTATAAACTGAGAGAAAGACATTATCAGTTCTATCAGCAAATTCAGCAAATTGGCACAAAGTCAATACTTTTTTCTTATTTTTCATTTGAATAGTCATCTGTTGAGAAACATAAAATATCTAATTGTGACCTCGATTTCATTTACAGACATACACACACATAAATATATATTTTCAATCAATTTGCTGGATAAGTGTGTCAATCAGAGGGGAGAAAGGAGAATGAAAATAGATCCAAATTTTTATTAAAAACATCTTAGAGATAATCTAAACAATAACAATTGCCAAATTAGACTTGGCCCTTTTTATGGCAGAGCGCCCAAAATAACTCATAATAACAAAAGACATTCTGAATGCTTTTGGCTCATGACCATTTTTTCTAAAAGGAATATATATATATATATATATATATGAATGAAAGAAACAAATAGGAAACTTTTTTAAATAACATGTTTTTCTTTTATTTAAGCTTCATTAGAAACTTTTTGAAATGAGTTATGGAAGAGAAAACTCTAGTAATGAATTCTATGTTGTTTGTTTTTCATTGGTCAGGCAAACCTCAGGTATCTTTGTCTTGTATGGAATCTAGCAGATATTTTGTATCTGTCTTCTAGTGTTTGTCTATTTAATTCCTGAAGATACCTCTCTGACCAGTGAAATGCAAATACACAACTCTAAGTAGTGGGGTTTTCTCTTCCATAACTCATTTCCAAAATTTTCTGATGAAGCTTAAATAAAAGTGAAACATTAAATTTATAAATGTTTATTAAATCTATAAATGTTTCCTGTTTGTTCATTATTCTATCATTCTGCCAGATTTTAATCCATATTTGATTCCAAATCATATAATATCCTTCCAATGCAGTGATAACAAAATAGTATGTATATATATTTTATATATACGATTATGTGCATGTGAATATATATTCTCCTTCTCAATTTTAATTCATATATTTTTTTCATAATTTATTAGATTTTTTGTAGCATGCATGAAACTCTGAGTTGCAAGGAACAATAAATATATATATATATATATATATATATATATATATATATATATATATAATCACCAAATTAAATATAAGTCCAAAGCTTGGAAAGCTTTTCTCTAACAAAAAAATTTATGGTAATTTTAGGAGGAAGTATTTTAATTTTATTTTATATATATATATATATATATATATATATATATATATATATATATATATGTGGGGGGCATAGAGATCAGCACTGCATGGTGACTGTCAGTTTCACATTTCAATGCAATCTTCAATCTTCAGATTGCATTGAAGCTTGAAACTGAGTCACCATGCAAGGCTAATCTCTATGTCCATACTATATATATTTATAAATCCTTTATCTCTGATACTGAGCACTCTATGTAAGATCAATGAATACAATAAGAATTTATCTAAACAAGTTTTGTTAAATTCAACAGACAAGGTATGTGTTTAATATTTAATGTATTTTTTTTTCAATTTTTAAATAAGATGTACATTAAGTAATCTTAATTTTTCATACAAAAAAAGAATCAATCAAACATGTTAAACAGTTTCATTTTCACTTCTAGAATTTCTATTCATCTATTGCAAATAGCTTGGGTATAATCAGAGAAAAATAAAACAATCTTGCCCCCTTTTTTTCAATGATAAAAATTTTATATCTTGATAAACTGATTTTTTTCATACATCTCAATCAGAAGCAAAGATCTGTTAGTCACACAAGCTATTCTTTGAGCACAAAAATATTAGCAGCTGACCCTAACTGTAGTTGCTCAACAGGGATGAAATACTAACCATTAGATGAAGGGAAAGGAAATGTCCTACTCAGCAGTGCATATGTCTTTGTTATCATCAAGAGAAGTCTATTTAAGCTGGCC